TTGTGAGAAAATATAATTATTAAGAAAGAAAAATATTTAAATCGGTTGACCTGGAGGCCATCCCTGTGATTTCCTGTTTCTCTTGAGATTCTATCAAATTTTATATCTGTAGGAACAATATGAATTTTTTGATAATCATCACTCCCGCACTCCTATGTAGGGGAGGAATTTCGTAAGATCCTATTCGAGATGATTTCTACATTATAAACAAAAGGTTCCAACAAAAGTTCGAGGCCATAGAAACTATTGTTTGGAAATGAGAGATTTTCATTGTTAACGCACCCGCAATCCCTTATAGGGTTAGAATTCGAGGAAATCTATTCTTAGCTGAACTTGACATCATACACGAAGATTCCTACCAAATTTGGAGTCTGTAGAAGTTATTATTTGTGAATTAAAATTTTAGATTTTAAAACCCAACCCCGCAATCCCTATCAGGAATAGAATTTATTAAAATCCATTTTGAGATGATTTCTTCATAAGAAATAAAAAATTCTTACCAAATTTATATTTTTTAGAAGTTATATTTTGGAAATTAAGAGTTCTTATTGTCAACGCTCACTCCCGCGATCCTCATTGGAGGTGATTCGTTGTAAAATCTGCTCTTAGATCAATTTTATATCACATATAGAAGACTCCTACTCAATTTGGAGCATGTAGAAGCTATATTTTGAAAATCAAAATTTTTTTGTTAATACCCACCCCCGCAGTTCATATTTGGATTAGGATGCCATTAATTCCGCTCTTAGATCATTTCTACCTCAGATGTAGCAGATTCTTACCAAATTTGAAGTTTATGGGAACTATAGCTTGGAAATTAAAAATTTTAATTGTTAACACCCACTCCCGTAATTCCCTGTCGGGTGAGCTATCGTAAAAATCGTTCATAAATGATTTATACATCACTTACAGAAAATTCCTACCAAATTTGGAGTCTGTAAGAGCTACAGTTTGAAACTTAAAATTTTTCATTGTTAATACTCACCCCCGCAATCCTCTGTGAGGTGAAATATCGTAAAATTCATTCATATACTACTATTCATTCATATACTATTTCTACATCTCTGACAGAAAATTCCTACCAAATTTGGAGTCAATAGGAGCTATATTTTAAAACTGGAAATTTTTCATTGTTAACGCCCCCGCAAACCCCTTTGGGGGAGGAATTTCTTAAAAACCGTTCTTAGCTGACCTCTGCATGGCAAAAATAATATTCCTACCAAATTTCAAGTTTCTAGGTCTGATGGTTCCCGAGATATCGTGATGAGTGACTATATAAATAGGAATCTCATAATAATATAGATTAGGACTCCTATTTCATAACCACCTCTGGGTTGACCGACATCATATATGTCCTACCATCTGCAGAATAACGTGTTCTGACTGTATACTAATTTTTATTAAAATTGGTCAAGCCGTTCTTGAGTTTTGAGAAGACATACAGACAGACAGACAGACAGACAGACAGACAAAAAAAAAAGTCAGATGTGAATCAGCGCATCATAAAACGATTATTTATCACAAAATTAGATGAAAAAATTGAATGTACAGTCAATAGATTTATATAGTAGTATAGATATGATATGTATGAAAAGAATCGTTTGCGTACCTAACTGAAAGATCTCAATGAGAGTACATCAGGATGAATTTATATTTCGAAAAATGTCAATAATTAAGAAATTACGTTGTATTTTGTCCACTAATGATATTTTTAACGATAAAAGCTCATTCTGGTATTACACTTATCGAGACCTTTCATTTGAATACTCACATAAATTTTTTATATATTTTATATATTTCATTAATATGAGTAATATCATATGTATAAAAATTCTTTTTCAAAAAGTTAAAAAGTTTATATCGTTAAAACTATCATCAGTATAGACAAAATACAACGTCAATTTCTAATTATTGAAATTTTTTAAGATATAAGCTTATCCTGATTTTACGCTTATCGAGACCTATCATTTGAGTACGCTTCTGTCAAAATGTTTTTCATCGAAAATTTAATTAATCACTATTTTTACAAATTTTATTTATTATTATCTAACCGTTGTCATGTTAATTGTTGCCAAAGTGGTTGCCATAGCAATGAAAACGTTACATCAACTTTTTAATAAAGGATTGCCTGCCACATGAAAATCATGTTTCTGTCAACTAACAACTCTTTCCTAATATTATACTTAACGGGGAGCATTTAACAGAATATCAGACTAGCAAGCGAGGTGTCGTGAGTTCAAATCCAACAGGCGTTTCTTGATTTTTTCAGTAGAAATCGTTTCTCAAAATCGTAATGAGCTTCCGAGATAATAATGAACAATGTAAGAATAAAAAAAATAGTATATTACATACCTAGGCCAGTAAAATAAGAAAAGTCTCAGACCACATGTAATTGTTGGCCGAGGCGAAGCCGAGGTTGACAAACATGTGGTCTGAGGCTTTACTTTTTACTGGCCAAGGTGTGTATACTATTTTTCTGCTCGACGTAGCCGGAATGTGGCAACTTTGTTTAGCGCAGCGGCCAGAAAGTTGCCACTTTCCGGCCGGAGGGCAGAAAAATAGTATACACACCTTGGCCAGTAAAAAGTAAAGCCTCAGATCACATGTTTGTCAACCTCGGCTTCGCCTCGGTCAACAATTACATGTGATCTGAGACTTTTCTTATTTTACTGGCCTAGGTATGTAATATACTATATTTAATTCAAACTTTTTTGTGTCTTAAAGATACACATTTAAAGAATAATTTCTGAGATTTTCAAAAAAAAAAAAATTAAAACTCCGCCATTGTGACGTCATTTCCAGTGACCCCTTGAAAAAAAGGTGCGTCCGCGTTGTCAACATAACTCCTGACAGGATCATCTAAAATGAAAAAAAAAAAATACGTGTTTTAGTTAAGACCATAAACTCGTATTTAAATGGAGCAAAAAAAAAAAAGTAAAAATTGGAATTTTGGCAGATCTTTTTCCAAAAAAATGATAATTTCGGTCAAATTTGCTCGACATTTTTTTTTTCAAATAGTTGTAATTGAAAAAAAAAATCCTCCATACTACTACGAGTAAATTGTATCTCGAACACATGTGTAAAATTTCATCAAGATCGGTTGAGTAGTTTCTGAGAACTTTTGACAACCGACTTTGAAAACACAGTTCCGAGAAAAACGCGTTTAAAGTTTTGAGTAACAATAATAGTGGAAAAAAAATGTTTTTTGTAACTTACAGTGAATCGTCGATTCCTGGGCCATAAAGTAAAGATCCTGCAGCAGTTGCAATGTCCAGGGCATCCTTTTGTTCCTGTCGATGACGGATTCTAGCTTCGCGAGTCTCGCTCGCAGATTTTTTTTCGGCTGCGCACACACGGTTTTCATCCGAAATTCGGGCATATTCGTGGGAGTTTCGGCCTAATTTTAAATCCATACCGTGCATAATCAATAATAAAGCTGATGTTCCTTCATTGAAGATACAAGCAGCGATCAATGCCGCAATATTTACAATCTTCGAACCAGCAGGAAGTATTTTTGGAGTAATTTTCCAGATCAACTGGTTGAAGCTCTCGTTGTTATTTTGTGTGAAACCACCAACACACCGTTCCAGAAGCTCATCCTTACTGAGATTTTCATATACTGGTTTCATAGCAATCAAAACTCCACCTGGTAATGGAGTATACTCATGTTTAAATGATGAAAGAGTATTTGTAGCTGATGCTCGTTGCCAAGCGCACCAAGAGTCTGGACCTTTTGGACATTTATCGTGCTGAGGTTTTTTATCTGTAGAGCTATAGTGATAATAGGTAGCCCATATAGCGTCTTTCATTTTTTCCACTGATTCACAGTTTCTTCTTATCGCCAAACCATAGTACACAGTTAATTTGTCTATTAGTTTACTTGTCAGTTTACCTTTACCAGAAAGAGTTTTTTTTGTGTTTTTTTACCTTTTACTACTTTTTTCTCAGTTGTTTTCTTTACTAACTCACGCAAACGGGTCCCCATTCTTTTCTGCACGTGTCCAACGCATTCTTTTTTATTGATAACAAAATCTTCACCGTAAGGTTGGGCTTCGAGAAGACCAGAGTAGGTTTTTGAGTCCCCATCTCCTATATACATAATTCACAAACCTCAGTCCATGTTTGACAATTGAGCGTTTAAACATTTCAATAACCGATGAGACTTCCATGTTTCCTGATGCCCCAGTGTGATTGGCGGTGCATTCATTTGTTTTAAGGAAATCCTTTCGCTCCAGTTGAGTCAAAACAATTGCAGTAGTCAATATACGATAAATTAAAAAAAGAAACCCATAAAAATTCCTAAAATTAAATAATAAATAGTATATGAGGCATTAATCGTTGAAATTTTGAAAATAAAAAAAAAATTAGTTAAATACAAAAATTAATTTGACTCTTTCAAATCAGCTGCTAGTAACCTGTCCGTGATTTGGCAACGCTGTACTTCGGTTGTTTACATTTTCATTTGCACAATATAACCTTAACCACGTTTAAGTTTTTGCAGTCAGTGAAAATAAATAAATTAGTTTGAATTTATTGAATGGTCTGAAGCTCGCGCGCTACGCAACGTTGCCAAATGTTTTGACTCCATTTTAACGTAGGTTACTTGAGAATTTTTTGTGATTTTTAAATATTAATTTCTCAATAAATATCTCGGTAACTGATATATTTTATTGCAAAAAAAGAAACCTGAATATTTCGAAAATCTAATTTTTAGTTTTTTTTTACTTCATCTAATCCATGACTGATAGTATAATTCGAGAAATACTGCAAACGTCTGACTTTCTCGTAAGACTTTGAACAAATACTAACATTTAAAAATTTTATTTTCTCAAAAATTTGTCCGGTAAAGTATAATTTAAACCTCACTATTAGATAAATAAGGACCTTAACTATCAGAAAAAAATTGAATTTACTCATAATCTAATATTTTTTATTTTACATTGGCGGCGAAAGAACCTCCTTAATGTGTTCTTCTTTCCATTCTCCATATTCTGCAGTGCCTAATTTATTTTTCCAGCTTTCACATAAGAAAATTTCAACAATACATCCAACACTTTTCCCGAATTATATCCCATTAGTGAAGTCACACCAAATAGTGATGAGAAACCTCGTTTGTTCCAGATACCGTCACTGGAAACACTCACATCTGTCGTATCTTGTAAATCGTTTTCAAGACTTGTTAATTGTTTTTCTTCTTCAGCAGCAGATGAGAATAGAGTTTGAGTAACTGTATCAATACACTCATATATTTTACCAATATAAAAATCGTATGTAGACTGGTTTAAAAATGAACTGCTTATGTCCATCAAGCCGCAGAATTTCTTGCATCCGGCGAGCCCTAAGCCCAATATTCTCATAACAAAAAAGAACCGGCGATTTAGTTCATACATTCTTCCGATTTTTTGACAAGATAAAATATATTTCGGATCACATCGTTCACATTCTACTACGATTTTAAATCCCAGACCAAATTTCGAACATTGCTTAAACTGTACTTTACCATTACACAATTGATCTTCATCTTCATTTTTAATAATGTTAGAACACCGCACAAACGATGAAAGAGTTGAGAAAACCAAGGCAAAATCTATGATTGAATATTGGAGCGTGTACTCTTCTGGCACGTGCTCTCTATCATCACCTTTTAATTTTTTTGCTGAGGTGCTCGTGAAGGAACTATCATCAGTTTCCGTATTTTCACCATTAAAGGACCGTCTCCTTTTTTTCGGTCTATCTTTTCTACGAGCTCCAAGGGTTAACTGTTTTCTTGTAACTTTATTCATTGTTTATCAACTTCACAACTGACACTAGATAACCACTAATAATACCACGTTTTTATAAATTTTATAATAGAAACTTGGGATAACCTCAAATGAACCTCGTCCTTCAATGAGTATTCACCAAATAAAATATTTCAAACTAGTTTTCCTTAGGAAGTGAAAGTTATATACAACAATGACAGACAAACAATAGACGAGCAGCTGCTCACTATATCTGAGGCACGCTGACCCTTCTATACCTGGCTTGGAGCGCACACCTTCCAAAGGCTGTATCTCCGAAACTATTATTCAGATCGACTTGAAAATTTAGGATAATATTCTTGAGATGTTGTAAAAATTATTAAGCCAAAAAAAAATCGATTTTTTGAATACACGAAACCCATGTAACCCCTTAAAGTTCAATGATATGAAATTTTATAAAACTGTATAAAAGGCTATCATTTTTTATACGGATTTATGAGACCATTTTCAGTATATAATTTTCTTGAATTTTTTTATCACAAACCGACTGTATACCACTGTTTTACTTCTAAATTATCTGAAATTGCTCGAATGAGAAAATTATTATGTAAATTTGTAATTAATAAATTAAGTTACATAAATTTTAGTGATAAATGAATTTTTTCTATGTCACGTGAAAATCTCGATCATGTCGATAAAAAAAAATTCCCATGTTACCATTGGAAAAATTCCTATGATAACATTGGAAAAATTCCTATGTTAACATTGGTTAACATTGGGAAAATGTCACATAGGAATTTTTCCTATGCAAAAATAGGAAAAATCCCTATGTTTTTTTCTCCGTGTATCTTAATTCACGGGTATGTAGACCACGTGACCTACAATTATTTACCGATATTCCGTATTACCAATGACCAATTTTATTATAAACTTCTGATATAAAGGGAAAGATTTATGGGTTCGTGTCCATGCTAAGTACCGTCCGTCGATATGAGCGACCTGTTTTACCGACAATGGGGGTTGCTGTGGATATGGATGACGTGTTTTACCGACATTTTGAGGTTATGGACGAGGTTTTTATCGACTTGGTTGTAGGTGGCGCTGGTGGTCAATTCTGCCGCCATTTTTGAATCTATCCGCCATTTTCCCGCCATTTTTTTAAATCTATCCGCCATTTTGAATCCGCCATCTGCCATTTTAAATCTTCTATCTGACTCCGCCATTTTGAATCTGCTATCCGCCATTTTGAGTCTGAAATCCACCATTTTGAATCTGATTTCCGCCATTTTGAATTTGAGTTCCGTCATTTTAAATCCGCTATCTGGTGGCTGCTATCCAACCGTTGGTATTGCTGATCTGCTTTACTGACAGTTGGTCTAGGTTTTATCGACTGTTTTTGTAGGTGGCGCTGGTGGTGAATTTGTCGTTTTGAATTTTCCTGCTATTTTGAATCTCAGTATCGACCGATTTCCCGCCATTTTGAATTTGAATCTCACTATCTGCCATCTCATAGCCCCTATCTGCCATCTGATGGCTGCTATCTGCTACCTGGTAGCTGCTTTCTACCATCTGGAAGCTGCTATTTGCTATCTGATAGCTACTATCTGCCATCTGGTAACTGCTATTTGCTATCTGGTAGCTTCTATCTGCCATCTGGTGGTTGATATCTGAATCTGGCAGCTGACATTTCAAGCTCGAAATCCGCTATTTTCCCGCCATTTTTAAATTCTGAATCCGTCATTTCAAGTATAATATCTGCCATTTTAAACCTTGATTTCCAGCATTTTTGTTAAAAAATGCGCCTGTGATCTCAGCATCAATAATAGTTGCTTAGATCACAGGTGAATTTCATTGTTTATATTCTGAAAAGATTAATATATTCAAACTGTACGTATGAGAAGTACATGTGAGAAGATACGCCATCTATCGAGGTTTCTGTCTACTTCTAAACAGGTCTGAACCTGTTCAAGGTCATGTAACTACACAGTTTTCTTTGTTGTATTTATGTTGCGTAGCAGATGACGTCATCAAACAGGTTTAGACTTGTTTAAGATAGAGGAGTGGGGGTAACTGCGCAGTATTTTCTGCCTATATAAGCAGCTCGCCGAGAGCGTACTTCACAAAAACGAAGTACACGTCTCCAGTGAAGTACGAGCTCTTGCCAACTACAAGTTTTATTAAAGTACGAGTGCTATCTATTACTCTCAAGTGTAAGTAATCATTAATTAATTTTTAATTGTCTTATTAATTAACTTTAATTAATCAACTAATTAATTAAAATTTATTTACTAATTAATTTTTAAATATTTTACAGCTTTCAAACATGGATCTTTCCAAGCTGAATGAGGTTAATTGTTTGGTAGGAATCCTACCTGTCAAGAGAATGAATGAGTTAGAGTTCAATCGGGAGTACAAAATCAAAGGGTTAAAACAAGTTTCAACACAATATGGACCGAGGATTGTTGCAAATATCGAGGATGGATTCGCCATCTTTTTACCGGCTCGAGCAGCAGTATTATTAAAGGACGATGGTGTCATGGAGATGTTGAATGATTTATCAGAATCAAACCACTTATTGATGCGTTATCATGGTGGAAAATATAATAAATTTGAATTTATTAATTCTACTCTCGATGTAAATAGTAATAGTAGAACTATCTAAATAAAAAAATCCTCTAATTAATACCATGCTTTTTTATTTAATCTTATAGTATTAAGTTACTTTTTAATTCTACTATACTGAACTTAGTATCGGTCTTGCATCATATTCATCTCACGGGAATTATTATTATTAAATATCAATCATAAATTAGGTTTTCCTTAATTAACTTAAAGGATATAAATAAATTATCACAATTAAATTTATATTTTTAGATTTATTGACTGCTTAAAAACCAATCTTTTAAATTTTTTACATTCTCTAAAGCGCATAAATCAGATAAACAATCATGATAATTACAAAAATGATTATTACTTATTTTCATGCTTTTTAAAGATGGACAATTGAAATTTTCAAGATCGATTACAATTTTATTGGTACAATCAATTAAATTTTGTATCCATAATTTTTTTTCGATACCTTTTACATAAATAATTTTTTTATTCTTAGTTAAATAATTAAGAACATCTTTGAGCTTGTAATATGAAGTTGTTCCAGCGTTCCAACTGATGCCATGATAATTTCGGATCAGCCAGGTATTCAGACGTTGATAGTTGACTGGTAACACCCTCCAGTGATATGGTGGTTGAAATAGTGTGTATGATAATTCTTCAATATTATCAATATCATGTTGAATTGTTATCGAGGCCAATTTCTTGACAATGAAGCGATTATCAGGTCCTCTGAATCCTTGAACGTCCAGAATGATCTCCATTATTACTGCTCTCGACAACGAGGAGTGACTGAATGATGATTCTCAAAGTCATCTCAGCCTTTTATAATCCGATCTCAGGATTTTACCCCCACCACTCGATAATCTTATTGGTTAATTATTTTTCTTGGTTAATAATTTGATTGGTTTTTCAAACTACGCGGTCGATTTTTGAACTGTGTAGTAGATGGCGTCATCCAATAGGTTCGAGTCTCTTTCTACTACGTAGTTGATGACATCATCTCAATATTTATAGGTTATAATTCCCCCGCTATTTAACTTACGATTTTTAGGTTATGTTTATGCTTTCCCGCCATTTAACTTATGATTGATAGGTTATGTTTATGCTTTCCCGCCATTTAACTTATGATTGATAGGTTATGTTTATGCTTTCCCGCCATTTAACTTATGATTGATAGGTTATGTTTATGCTTTCCCGCCATTTAACTTATGATTGATAGGTTATGTTTATGCTTTCCCGCCATTTAACTTATGATTGATAGGTTATATTCCATAACTGCGCAGTTTCTATTTTTAGACTATGACTCATAATTTCTATTTTTAGATTATGACTCATACTATTCTAGAATTTTCTAACTGCGTAATAGATGACGTCATTACCTGGCTATAAAAGCAGCACGCCGCGGGTATACTTCAATACAGTAAAGTACGCGTATACAGTGTGAAGTACGAGTGAAATATAGTGAAGTATCATAGTGACTCTGCTACCTGAAACCTGCATCCTGGTGCTGAAATTCACTATCAAAAATCTGCTACCTGAAATCTGCTGCTGGACTCTGCTATCTACATCCTGGTGTTGAAATCTACTACCCTCCTGTTGAAATCTACTGCCTGGAATCTGTTGACAGAATCTCAGTAATGGCTCCTTACCGTAAACATTCTGCTACTGATGATGTATACGAAATTGAGAGATCAAAAACATTTAAACGGATCAATGTTGAAGATCAAACCAAGAGCAGATTACCATTCAAACGAATGAATAAACTCAAGGTTGGAAAAACGTATAAACTAACCGGAATGAGAACTGTTGTGACTGATCATGGACTCAACGTTGAAATTGACTTGGATAACAACTTTTCAACATTCTTCCCTGCTGCAACTAACCAAAAATATCTTAACAATTCCGACATGATACTTAAAATGAAAATTTTAATTTTGGGTGATACTTTGAATTTACACTACATTGGAACCAACTACAGTAAGTTTAAGCTTATCAATCACTCTGGAAAATTAATTGTCGAAATTTTAAAAAATCTGTGTTCGAATATTAGTTTTTAATTAATATGTATACTTAATGATTATACTAAAATTTTTTATTTTTGTGCTTATTATAGTAAGGTTTATAATTAAAAACACAAAATTATAAAAAAGTTTTTCTTTATTTACTATTTTTAATTACATTAAGTTTATTTATTATTTTTAATTACATTAAGTTTATTGATTAGTACAGGTTCAATAATTTTATTTAATTCTTGTATTCGTCGGCGAAATCGTTCTCCGTCTCTTGCTGCTTGTTCCCATGGACCTTTTCTCGCTTGTCTGGATGCATAATCCCATACATACATGTAATGTATGGTGGGTTTGGGATCAAACTGCACCATTAGGTAAGTTTTTTCACAGTGCTGCTGATTGGATTGTATTCCACTATAC